CCAATAGCTAGTATTCTAGAATTATTGAAAAGACAGTGTCCTTATCTCATAATAATGAGGATTTGCCTTGACATAGATTGCCTTAAGGGGTTGACTGTGTGATTTGGGTTTGGCCTTTGAGAAGCTGGGTTTTCATTTATCATGTCATCTCTCAACCAATCCAGAAGACAAAAGAAGACCTCCTCCTGCGTCTTCCCTGAATCTACACAGGCATTCATAGACAGTTTTCTTGGAATTTCTTTTCCTACCTCTAACTGTGCTGGTCACAATGAGTTGGATATTTTGTATGAGTCTAAGTATCTCTATTTAGGAGGGATTCTGACAAATTATTAATCAACAGTAGGAGATTGATTAGAATTGCGAAGGGCTTAGGAAACTGTCATGGTTCATGTTAGTTCTGGCTACTATTTAAGAATAGTTCAGAAGGAAAATAAAGATTCAGAATTCATTTTTCACAGTTATAAAAGTAGGATTCTATTCTCTTGGTAGCTTAAATTCTGTAAATCTACATCAGAAATTTGTGGATACGAACACGTTGAGTGAAAGAAACTAGGCATAGAAAGTACCAGTACTAGTACTTCTAGCTACTCACTGCTTTCACCTTATTTATACATGATTTCACTCTTAGAATATTAAAGATTATTCTTATATGCTAACAATGTGATAACTAACCATATATTAAGTTTAGCAATGCTAAGCTCTGCTAGAAATACTGAAGAATGGTAATGGATACTAGGGGGTCTCTGGACCCAGCATAAATTTATGAATTTCTTCTGTCTAGGATGAAGTGGACCGTGTAAGAAGCCTCTAGATTGGTTGTGAGCTTAAAGCCTGGGAGGAAAACAAATACTCTGGAGAAGAAGGAGGAGGAAATGGCCTTGTAGCTGCTATTTGTCTCACACTAGAATCTATAAGAACAGAGTATATGTGCATAGGAACCCCAAAACATAGAGAGCATGGGTAGATTGTGGCCAGTGGTCCCCTATAGCCAAATGTTGAACCAGGAGAGTAGCAATACTTTTCTGGACATAGTGATATGAGTATATGTAATAAATGTGTTTGAGTGAATGCTGGAGGGGTGTAAGGAAGATAAATAAGGCGTTAGAGACATAAAATTATACATAAGAAATGTTTGCTTATTTAACGTCCTCCTTCCTTACCCTCGCCCTTCTTTTCTGTTTTTGGACCTCATTCTCTTTTGCCTCCCATAAGATGGCTAATTTCAGACGACTCACTGTCATCAGCTCAGCCACGTTGCCTGAAGGGACTATGGTAGACACACTTTATACCGGAGAAGGAGAACTTCCAGTTTCTTTTGATTCTAAATCCAAGCTGAGTATTGATGAAAAATAAGTTCCAAAGCGAGGACCCTAAGCAGCTGAGAAATCAGCCCTCATTCCCCAAACCCATACTCTGCGTGAGTAATGAAAGTAATCTTCCTTCTTCCTTCCTTCCCTTCTTTTATTAATAATTTCATATTTATTTATATGGTTATATGATATTATGGAAAATTTTCTACAATAAGTGATTGTATTAAGGAAGTGGAAATCTGAGTTATTTTATTAGTGGAATTAATAGTTCTGAGTTAGCAGCAGCTGACCTAATTGAAAGGTGGAATAGCTTACTGAAGACCGAGTTACAGTGCCACTTCAGAAAGGATGGGGTTTTGTGCAACAGGATTTGGCATGTGCTTCAAATCAGAGACCATTACATGTTGCTGTCTCCCACTTAGCTGGAATACATGGGTCCAAGAGTCAAAAGGTGAACATGGGAGTAACTTCACTCTATTATATCTAGTAACCCACTCACAGACTTCGAGCTCCTCATCCTAGCAACTTTATACAAGGATTTTGCTTTCTGGTTTCTGTGTGCTCACAAAAGGATCCTACTGCATGCAGCCTTCTGCAGTGCCCCATTCATGCAGGCACCTTCACCAGGTTCCTGCAACGCACAGAGCCAGCACCTTCCTGCAGCACCTCGAACTGTTTTGGTGGTTTTGTAGAAAAGTGCCCGCGTGAGACATCTCCCTGTGAACAGCTTTCCCAGAACTTTAGAGGATGGTTTTCCAGCAAGTTCTAGAGGGTGAGTTTCCAGCAAGTTCCACTAGTACAGCACCACAGCGACCTCTCTGTCATCCAGTGAGCCACAGCTGTGCCATTTCCATGATCCAGGTCTCAGCCCTGGGGGTCGGGCTGGGGCCTCTTTCCTGGGCATTCTATACTCCCTGGCCCTAGGAGTACACCTTGTATCTACTATTCCTGTATGCTTACAGTTCTCTTTTCTTACTGTCCATTCCCTTGTTGCTCTAATCTCCTGTTAGAGTTAATAATCCTTTAAGCTTTCTCTGTTCAGATTACTATGTGGTTTCTCTCTCCTTATTGGACCAGACTCATACGTGCACCAAGGAACTCGAGCAGCTAAGGTGCCTCCTCCTTCCCCTGCCTGAGACATCAAAGCAGTTTGCTTTATTTATTTATTTATTATTTGATTTGTTGTTTTATTTACTTATACAATTATTATATAATTGTAAGAAACTTCCTACAATAATTATATTAAGAATTTAGAAATCTGTGATTTATTATATCAAAAAATTAATTCTTTAATAAATGCTTTCTTAAAAATCTATTTCTAATTTACAAATATTGATTGTACATATTTATAGGGTACAGAGTTATATTTCAATACATGTATACAACGTGTGATGATCAAATCAGAGTAATTAGCATGTTCATCATTGCAAAACTTTATCATTTCTCTGTGATGAGAACGTTTGAACTCCTCTCTTCTAGCCATATTATTTTTTTATTTTTTATTTTTTTTTTGAAAAAACGACTGGTAAGGGGATCTTAACCCTTGACTTGGTGTTGTCAGCACCACGCTTTCCCAAGTGAGCTAACCAGCCATCCCTATATGGGATCTGAACCCGTGGCCTTGGTGTTATCAGCACCACACTCTCCCAAGTGAGCCATGGGCTGACCCTCTTCTAGCCATTTTAGAACATAAAATAATTAAAATTAATTTTGATTTTTCACATTTTGTGCATATTTGACACAAAATTTTATTATACAATGGAGTCAAATTGTAATCAATTTTAAAGCTATTTTGGCTTAAAACACATATAAACATTCATGCCCCAATGAGAATGTGTCTAAAGATTGTAATTTGAAGTAATCTTTGGTGCATGTAATTCTTTCAATACATTCTTATTTATGATTTATGATTTCCTATTTCTTTAAAATGGAGTGGAGAAGCAATGGTAATTTTAAAATAATCTGAAGGCAGAATATCTCCCCACAAAGTTTTCATGTGTCCCTTTCCACTCAATCCACCTTCTGGAGGCAACAGAAGTTCTTATTTCTGTCACCATGGATTTACTTTAACTACTTCAGAACTTCAAATCACTGGAATCCTATGGTTGGTACTTTTTATGCCTGGTTTCTTTCACTCAACATGTTCTTGAGATACACCCATGTTTGCATGTGTATCAGACACTCATTACTGTCATTGCTGAATAGTATCTTATTATATGATCATAGCACAATTTGTTTTTCCATTCATCTGTGTCCCTCACTGGCTGGATACAGGACCTCTTTGGAATTAAATCTTTGCTAATATTTATAAGGGTGTAAGGGTACAAGCTGCCTTAGATTTTTGTGTCCTGATTATGCAAGGGTATGCTGTGTCTCTAAAGTACGTGAAACACATATTTTAAATACCTTTATTTAAAGACCCATTTCTAACATCATTTATGCTATTTAACATGCCACTAATTTTGCCAATAAAAATCCAATATCTGATATTCCCTTTGCTATTTAACAAAGCTTCAGATATCAATCAAGATGTGGATAACTGAATTGTAGTTTTCTCTGTGGTAGTCTTCTGTTGTGGTGGTAGCTGCTACAGTTTGGATATGTTTGCCCCTCAAAAACTCATATGGTAATCAGACTCCAAATTTGGCAGTGTTGGGAGGTGGGGTCTAATGGAAGGTGTTTGAAAGATGGGGGTGGGTCCCTCACGAATAGATTAATGCCCTCCCTTGGAGTGAGTGAGTTCTCGCTGTTAGTTTTTATTACCGCTGATCATTAAGAAGAGCCTGGCACATCTCTTCCCCGCTTTGCTTTCTCTCTTGCCATGTGATCTCCCTGCACGTGCTGGCTCCTCTTCCATTTTCTGCTGTGAGTAGAAGCAGCCTGAGGCTCATGCCAGACTCCTCAGCCCCAAAATCCTGAGCCAAACAA